ACTAATGAATTCATAAACATTAGCCACATTTCAAACAAATCTAATAAAAACAAACTTTCTTGATATTAAAGAAAATACATTGAACATAAAAACATAAAAACAACACATTACAATAAACATATAAGATTAAAAACAAAACAAAAAAAACAAAAAAAAAACAACAGACACAGACATAAAAAACAATTTTTTACTGTTCTGGAGGAGGAGGAGGAAGGAATGCCGCCAAAGAGGTTGAAGTAGGAAGGCCATCAACATTACATTGGTATTTTATTTCATGAACTTCATCTCTAATTTACCAATGTCATGTTGCTGCTCGTAAGTTGAGTATCAAATTGATCAAACCTTTTGATTAATGTGAGTCTCTAGTCTATCAAATCTCTCAATCAAATTCTGGTTAATCTGATTGAGAAGCAGAACCTTGCACTCCTTCTTCTTCTTCTTCTTCTTGAAGAGAGAGAGAGAGAGAGAGAGAGAGAGAGAGAGAGAGAGAGAGAGAGAGAGAGAGAAAGCAAGAAAGATCAAGGGAGTGCAAGAGAGGGAGAGAAAGGGAGAGAGGGAGAGATAGAGAGAGAGAGAGAGAGCAAGTTAGAGCAAGCTAGAGAGCAAGAGACAGAGAGAGAGAGAGGGAGAGAGAGAGATAGAGAGGGAGGGAGAGAGTGAGAGAGAGAGAGTGAGAGAGAGAGAGAGAGCAAGAAAGGACAAGGGAGTGCAAGGGAGAGAGCAATAGAAAGAGAGATTGAGAGAAAGAATGAGATAGAGAGAGACAGAGAGAGGGAGAGAGAGAGGGAGAGAGGGAGAGAGCGAGAGAGAGAGCAAGAAAGGGCAAGGGAGTGCAAGAGAGAGAGAGAGGGAGAAAGAGAGAGAGAGAGAGAGAGCAAGAAAGAGCAAGGGAGTGCAATAGAAGAGAGAGATAAAGGGAGAGAGAGAGAGGGTTAGGAAGAGTGAGAGAGAGGGAGAGAGGGAGCGAGGGAAAGAGTGAGAGAGAGAGAAAGAGAGAGCAAGAAAGAGCAGAGGAGTGCAAGAGAGAGAGGGAGAGAGAGAGAGGGCAAGCAAGTGAAAGAGCGAGCTAGAGAAAGAACAAGAAAGAGCAAGAGAGAGCAACAGAGATAGAGAGAGAGAGAGAGAGAGAGAGAGAGAGAGAGAGAGAGAGGGAGAGAGAGAGAGCAAGTGAGAGCAAGCTAGAAATAGAGCAAGCTAGAGAAAGAACAAGAGAGAGCAAGGGAGAGAGCAAGAGAGTGAAAGATACAGAGAGAGAGAAGGAGGGAGAGAGAGAGAGGGAGAGAGAGAGAAAGAAAGATAGATCAAGGGAGTGTAAGAGAGAGAGCAAGAGAGAGAGAGAGAGGCAGAGAGAGGGAGGGAAAGAGAGAGAGAGAGAGTGGGAGAGGGAGAGAGTGAGAGAGAGAGGAAGAGGGAGAGAGAGAAAGAGAGAAAGATAGAGAGAGAGCAAGAAAGAGAAAGGGAGTGCAAGGGAGAGAGCAAGAGAGAGAGGGAGAGAGAGAGAGATGGACAGAGAGAGAGAGAGCAAGTGAGAGCAAGCTAGAGAGCAAGAGAGTGAGAGAGAGAGAGACGGAGAGAGAGAGAGAGAGAGAAAGGGAGAGAGAGAGTGAGAGAGAAAGAGAGAGATATATAGAGAGAGAGAGATAGAGAGAGAGATAGAGAGAGAGAGAGAGGAAGAAAGAGCAAGGGAGTGCAAGGAAGAGAGAGGGAAGGAGAGAGAGAGAGAGAGGAAGAAAGAGGAAGGGAGAGCAAGAGAGAGAGAGGGAGGGAGAGAGAGAGAGCAAGAAAGAGATGGGGGGTGCGATTGAGAGAGAAATGGAGAGAGAGAGAGAGAGAGAGAGAGAGAGAGAGAGAGAGAGAGAAAGTGAGAGCAAGCTAGAGAGATTTAGGGAGAGAACAAGAGAGAGAAAGGGAGTGAGAGAGAGATAGAGAGAGAGAGCAAGAGAGAGAGAGTAAGAGATAGAGAGAGAGACAGCAAGAGAGAGAGAGAGATGGAGAGAGGGGGAGAGAGAGAGAGAGAGAGAGAGAGAGAGAGAGCAAGAGAGAGAGAGAGAGAGAGAGAGAAAGCAAGTGAGAGCAAGGTAGAGAAAGAGCAAGCTAGGGAAAGAACAAGAGGGAGCAAGAAAGAGAAAGGGAGAGAGCAAGAGAGAGAGATAGAGAGAGAGAGAGAGTTGAACTTCTGCATTTGCATTCATCAAGATAAAACAATTACATCAAACAAAAATAAAAAGGGGCAAAGAACCCCTAATCTAAAGCAAAAGAACTACTATCATCCTCAAGAATATCTAAAAATTCTTGAGGAATACATATATTTCTATCTCCTATATCCCAATGGAAATTGTCCTCTATTGCTCTATGAGCACAGTAGTGTGCCGCCATATTAAACCTTCTGTAGGTATGCACAAAAATAATGTGTTGGAATGATCTCAGCCAGCTCCAATCTTCAGCATCTTCATACTTTTGCTTCCAAAGTCTTTTAGCTTTAAAATTCTGCATAAATTCAATAACAGATGCATTATCACCCTCCACAATGATCCCCTCATGCTCAAGCATCCAGTCCAAAGCAAGCTTCCCTATATATTGAATGGCCAACATCTCAACTTGACCACTGTCCCAATGGCAAATACTCCATCCAGCCGCTACCAGCAGCTTCCCAAAACTATCCCGAATCACAATTCCCACTCCACCTCCATTAGATCTTAACAGAGCACCATCAACATTCACTTTCAACCAACCTGTAGGGGGGGGGACACCAAGATGAAGGAGAAGACAATCCAAAGGATTGAAAAGTGTCCCATTGCTCCAAGTGGTAAGAAGGAGAATCTTGATTGATCCCTTCCAAGATAAGTCCAGCCAAAAACGTAAAAGGGCTCCGATCCTTCCCATGTTTTACAGCATTTCTGTTCATCCAACTATAATAAACAGCATTGCAATAAATCATCACCCCCATCTTCTTATCCTGAGCATTAGCCTCCAAGGCTTCAAACAATTGCAGTAGGCACACAAACCTTGGGATAACAAATCCCCAACCATTCAGGACATCCAGAATTTTATGCAATTGATCACATCCTGTAGTAACATGATCCAAGTCTTAAAGCATACCACAACCTACAGGATAGTGAATATTGACCTCCATCCCTCTAGTATAAAGCCTCCCATTCGTAGGAATAATGGCTTTATAAATCCTCCACCAAAAAATTCTAACCCGAGGTTTCAAACCCACATTCAAGATATTACAACATATATCATCATCATACAGAAAAATTCAGTTATAAACAGTTGAAGAGATGGTATTACCCATAGGATTCTTCACAAGCTCTAGTGAATCAGCATTCATCTCCTTATCAATTTGAATTTCCAAAATTCTGTCAACCAGCAGCTCCCCAAAACATGACAACAGCTTAGCCTTGTCCCAGCTGCCGTCCACCATGAAAAAGTCTGCTACCCGTGCATCTTCAACTGCTGTAATATCACAAAACGTAGGCCATGAAGAAATGGCCCTATCCCAAATCCATGTATGATCCAAAACATGAATATCACAGCCATTACCAATGTTCCACCGTAAACAGGGTCCAAGGCAGTTAGCTCCATCCATGATAACTTTCCAGCTGATCGAATCCCCTCTTTTACCTTCATACTCCCACGGCCAGCTACCATATTTATTAACCATACATTTCTGAAGTATATTTGAAGGCTTACTAATATACTCCCAGGCAATTCTTGCACGCAAGGGTCCAACCCACTTATCACTAGTATCGAAGCCCAATCCACCCTTCCTCCTTGGTCTGGAAATATTCTCCCATGAAGCGAAATGAATGCTTCTGTGTTCTGCATCAACATATCATAGGAAGCTCCTACAAATCTTTTCCATATCGTTCAACAGAGATTTAGACACCATTGTGTGAGACACAATATAAACATAAGTTGGAATCAGAACAGCATTAATCAACGTAATCCTCCCAGCTAAGGACAGGTGCCGAATCCCCCAAGCCAACGTATGGTTCCGCACCTTCTGAATTAGTGGAGCAAAATCCACCTTAGTCAGCCTCCTCAAAGCAAACTTCAGCCCCAAATATTCCATCTCATTTACTCTTCTACACCCTGCCATCTTGGCCAACCTGGACTTTGTAGTAGAAGAAACCCTTTTGCTGAAAAGGATGGCACATTTACTCCTATTCACCCTCTGTCCCGTCCATGAACAATAATCTTCCATGATGGAAATGATACTCCTAAGATTAGGAATAGTAGCACCTGCAAAAAGCAAAACATCGTCAGCATAAAGTAGATGAGAGACCAAAGGTCCCCCGCTACTAATAGAAACTCCCATCTTCTGATAGTTCTGGTGGATGTGCAAAGAAAGCAACTCCGAGCACAGAATGAATAGATAGGGTGATAAGGGACACCCTTGCCGAAATCCACATCTTGCAACAATGCCATCAGAAAGTTGTCCATTGATCAAAATAGAACTTCGGATCTTGGACACAATTTAAAACCCAATCCGAGAACCTCTGAGGGAACCCCATACGCCTCAAAATCAACTTTAATGTCCTCCAGCTCATCTTGTCATAAGCTTGCTCCATGTCCGCTTTTAATGCAAAAAAACCTGAGGAAGCTTTAGAGATCTTGAACTTATTAATTACCTCCTGCCCCAACAAACAATGGTTGGAAATAGAATGCCCCGGGACAAATGCAGCCTGCTCCTCAGAAATAAGCTTAGGAAGCACCCCTTTAAGCCTGTTAACTAAAATCTTTGCAACCACTTTATAAATAGTCTGACAGAGGCTGATGGGTCTAAAGTTGGAAGGAAGCTCAGGATTCTTGACTTTAGGCACAAGGACCTCCACCGTTTCCTTCCAAGCAGGATCCATGAATCCTGATTCAAAGAATTCCAGACAAGCCATAGTAACTTGCTCCCCTACAATCTCCCAAAAACTCTTGAAGAAGGATGCTGTTACACCGTCTCTTCCAGGAGCACGGTTTCTGCCCAGAGAACCAAGAACTGCCTATATCTCCTCTTTAGTGACAGTACTCTCAAGAAAACCCACCACTTCAACCAAGATATCACAATGGGAGCCAAGGGAAGGCCATCCATCCTCCACAATAGCATTACCACACCATTTCTTCTCAAAGAAACAATGAATCATTTCAGAAATCTGCATTTGTTCTGTTACAATTGATCCATCAGGCTGCTTTAAAACATCAATAAAATTACTCCTCTTTCTAGCTGAAGCCATTGAATGGAAGAACCTAGTGTTCTCATCACCTTCCTCAAGCCATTTTACTTTTGCTCGTTGTTTCCACCAAGACATAATACGGGCAAGAGTACTGTTCAGCAATTGAACCTTATACCTTAAAGCCTCAGCTTGAACTTCAGTTAATCCGGCAGGTGAACATTCCAAGTCCTGTAAAAATTTAATCTCCCTGTCCAGATCCTCCTTCAATTGATTTAGCATCTTAATTTTATCCCTACTCCAGAAGAAGAGAGCCTTGAGAGTTCTTTGGCATTTCTTCCTGAGCTTAAGAGCTTCATTGCCTGCATCATCCACTCTCCATTTATCCCAAACTAATTGCCAAGCCTTAGGATAAGATGTCCAAATATCTTCAAACTTAATCTAATGGGAATTCTTCTGCCTCACCTCACTTAAAAATGAGCAAAAGATAGCACAGTGATCAGAAGCAATTCTACTAAGGTGCCTTACCTTCAACCCTTGGAAAGAATCTAAGATTGGAGAGCTAACCAAAAACCGATCCAATCTAGAGAAAATTATGCTCCTCGCATCCTTGTTGTTAGTCCAGGTAAAAGCAGGACCAGAAAAGCCTGGATCCACCAAGTCATTTGCTGCCATAAAATCAGCCATATCCCCAGCAGCACCAGAGAAATGAAAAGCCTTACCTCCCTTCTTTTCTTCTTGTGACATGATACAATTGAAATCTCCCCCAACTAGCAAGGGAGCATCCAAATTATGAGCCTTGGAAATATCTTCCCAAACATGCCTCCTCACATATCTGTCTTTATTAGCATAAACAACTGCAACTTCCAACAACAACCCATTGGAACCACTCACCTTCCCCATAATACATTGATGAGTTTTAAAAGACAACTGAAAGGAGAGAACAGCAACTTTCCACAAGATAAGAATGCCACCTGCATTCCCAATAGCAGGTTCAAAAACAAACTCCCACTCCTTACCAGCAATACAATCAACTTCTTTCCTACTAAACGACTCCATCTTAGTCTCCAACAATCCAATAAAGTTAACATCAAACTCCCCCACAAGGTGCCGTAAGTAATTGTCCGTCTTCCTCTTACGGGCACCCCTACAGTTCCAACATAGGATGTTAAGCATGATCCACCAAAGGGGAAGCGTCCCCGCCGCCAAAGGTCTCAGAAAACACTTCTTGCCATTGCACAGCAATGTCCCCCTCCTTAGATTTGTAATCAACAGATTTATCAATCACTTTCACAAATTATTCAACAGATGAAGAAACCATCCCATCATTAGCTTTCTTGCTTCTTCTGATCCCAGGTAACTTTTGAAGGGGTCCAACACGACCCATTTCCTTAGTGTGCAATTGTTTTGAATCCCTACTTAGCTTGTTCAACCCTTTCTTGACACCAGCTTTGCCATCTGAAAATCTTAAAACTTTGGGAACCAACAGCATAGCAGGGGAGGACAACATCTCCTTGCGGTTCCTCCTCAACATCCTCAGTTTCTCACCAACCCGAGGTACACTTTTAATAGCAGCCACCTCTGTATCCATCAAATTTAGCAATCCATCCAATCTGTCATCCTGAATTTGAGCTTGTGCCATACTACTAGAGCCCTCCTGTTTCAATCCGCCAGGATTCAATTTACTGTCAACCAGCATATCACAAGGTAATTTATTGCCTGAAGGAGTAACATCCATCAGCTGATTTTCAGATGCAGAAGAATCTTTAGCCACACTCTTAGCATTTCCCTTCTCATGAAGAACATCAACCTCCTTCTGTGTTTTACAAACTTCCCTCCATACCGTTTTAGGTGCCAAAACAGCCGGCTTACTATCCCTCATGATAGTTCTAGCACCACCTTTAACATTTGGTCTCTTCCTCCTTGTGACAATTGTCCATTCCTCATGATCAATATCAGCATCAGTAGAGCCAACAACTTCATGAATTTTCCCAAAATTCAGCCTAGAATCTGCACCCTCCAATCCCAATGAACAACTCAGGCCAACACCAGATGAATTAGCGGCCACACCCAATCCATCTGCAATAGAACAAAACTGATCCTTCACTTCCCCAGTTTTCAACTCCTGTTGTTTAGGCCGTGCCTGCACCTCCTTACATAATTCAGCCTTATGTCCCACCTTACCACAATTCAAACAAATCAGGGGGATCCCTTCATACTCAATGGGTTGGAAGAAAGCACCTTCCAAACCATTAGCCCAAATGCCTTTAGGCAATCGCTTAGACAAATCCATTCTGATACAAATACGTGCAAAAGCACACCTGTTCCAAAGCTTCGTTTGCTCATCCATAAATAAAGGTTCACCAATGCCCATTGCCAGCCTAGCCAAATTGGCTTCATCCCAGTACTCTAATGGTAAATTTGGTAACCTTATCCAAACAGGAGACGTAAAACCTTTCAAGGATTTGGACGACAATCCAGTTTTCCATTGTTCTA